TCCTTTCCTTTCCTTTCCTTTCCTTTCCTTTCCTTTCCTTTCCTTTCCTTTCCTTCTTTCCACAGTGCTCTTCATTTAAGCGGTGCTGAGCACTATTCTGTCTTACAGATGCAAGGGAAGCAGCACATCGGTGATTTAGCAGAAATCCTCAATATTTCACAGCATTCTGGAAGCCCCCGTGGCACGCTGACAGCAAAGGGCCTTGGTTGTCTGAGGGAAAATGCCTCCCTTTGGACAGACTCCAAAACCAGAGCGCTTTGTGGCCGCCAGATAGCAGTGCCTCGCTGCGTACGGCCCCAAACCCGGCTGCAGCGCTGCTCACCGGGCTAGAAAACCCCCGTTGTGGGCCCTGCTCGCTCGGCCACGGCTTTTATAGGCTTCGCTGTAGATTTTGGTTGAAAAAAGGAAAGATTTTGGAGTTAATGCGTGCAGGAGGGGTCCAGATTGCTGCAGCTTTCCTGAATGGGGAGAGTTGGTTGCAGAAATATAATGGATCGCAGGATAATGGATTGTTATAGTTGCCATTTCCAATGACAGCAATTTCAAAGAAAACCTTGGTCTTTTGATATTTTTACTGTTTCTCCCTTGCAGTCGATGGATGCATTTCTCTCAACTTGAAAAGCTGTTAACAGCAGAGACTGTATAATATTTTCAGTAAAAAAAAAAAAGGGCCCATTCCTCCCTATAGTTAATTAAAATGCCAGCAGTGCAATATATGGTATAATAACGATTTTAGTGCAATGTACATGTCCATCTGCTTATAAGAACCTGCTGCTACCGTGTGTTTTACCGAGGTAGCTTCAGAGCTGGAGTGGGATACACAGAGCAAAGGGACACTTTATTACTCCTTGATTTCCCGCGATCCCAGCTTTGCCCTTGGGAGCGTCCCAGACGCTCTGCGGTGCAGCCGGGCTCCCTGGGGCCCCGGGGGAATGAAACGCGCGCCCCGTTGGGGCTGCGCCGGTGCCACGAGCGGGCCCGGCGGCGCGGAGCGGGGCCCGCAGGGGCGGAGGGGCCGCGGAGGAGGAGGAGGAGGAGCGGGAGCGGGAGGAGCGGGAGGCGGGACGGGGCGGCCGCGATAAAAGGCGCGCGCGGCGCGGGGCCGCGTGTCCTGCCCGCCCGCACCCGCAGCGGCGGCACCGGCACCGGGACGCAGAGCAGAGCGCGGCGACAGCGACAGGGACCGCACGGGCCATGGGGACGGCGCTGGCGGCGCGGCTCGGCCTGGGGCTCCTGCTCCTCGCGCTCCTCGTCCCCACGCGGGTGAGTCGCGGGTGGGTGGGCGGGAGGGGTGTGTGTGGATGCGGGTGGCGCCGAGCCCGCCTTTGCTCCCCCGCGGTTTCAGGAGCGGGTTTTGCGCCTGGGCAGGGGTCCCGCGCCCCGCGGCCGGGAGCTGCCGCCTCTCCCGAGGGGAAGAGCGGGAGCGGAGGGCGCCCCCGCGCCCCCCAGCGCCGCTTTTGTGCCCCAGCCGCCGGGCTGGCCGTGCGCGACACTGGGAACCCGCAGAAATAACCCGGGGAAATGCCGCGGGAGAGCCGCCACAGAGCCGCGCTCAAAAACAGCCTGGCTGGGACCGCTTCCCGTATCCATCTTGTAGGATACTAACTCTGCAGTCCGCTGTTGGGCTTTGTCTCGCTGGCTGCGACGAAAACTTCTACACAGGGATTTTATTTCGTTTATTTCTTTGAATCCTGCAGTCCTTTGCTGCTTCCAGTATAATCCCAGTTGCCAAAAATGCTGGCTACCAAAAGCTTCCCTCCTGGGGGGCTTTCTATGAGGTACATTTTGGCAGTGGAAAATGCTCATGCAATAGTAGAATAAATTTAATATGGCTTCAGCGTTGAGGGACTGTGTCTTTTTTTTGTGTGTGTTCTTGGTAACACAAGAAAAATGAGGCCACGAGGACACTTTGGTAGAGAAGATTATCTATTAGTGGCTCTCTCTTTTTTTTTTTTTTTTTTTTAATTTAAAATAAAAAAAAAAGTCATTTTAACTTAAGCTAGCTCTGCCATAGAATATTTAACTTAACGGGGCTTGTGTAAGGCAAGCTGGTGCCGCGGAGCTGGAGTCGGGCTCGCTAAACTGTGCCTGGTTGCAGGCACGGGAGGTAGCAGGCAGGAGCAGCTACAGGATTCTTTGCTCTTCACCCCCTTTCATCACCTGCCCATTTACTGGAAGGGAAAGAAAACCCCCTTACTTAGCTCTGAAACTTCTCCTGCGTGTGCGTAGGAAGTAACTTGAAGCACAGGTTGAGTCGGGATCAAATTGTTCTGCTCGGCTCCTCTGGCCAGAATTGTGGGAGGGAGGAAATGTACTTTGGCGTTTTTTTTTTTGCTTTCTGACAGCATCAATCATTTATTTGCTAATATTGTATTCTTTTTATTGTTTTTTTTTTTAATGCTCAGCATGCCAAAGCTAATAGGCTATGATTTAATCAGTGTAGTTTTATTGTTTTCTTAAGTTCTACCCCTGCCTTCCAGAATAGCAAGATAAGAGACTAGGGAGGCTGAAATACCCAGTCCATTTATATTAACCCTACCACAGCTTCAAACAAATTCCAAACCCAGGCCAGGGGATGGCCCATCCATAGACTCTCCCCTATCACTTCCTCATATTTTTCATTTCAATTAATCTGCAAAGAGAATGAATTCATGCAGCTGCCTAAATTTTTATTTTAAGAGTTTTGTCTTTTGATCCTTTATAATTTACTTCTTTGTGTGGGGCTTTTGACTGGAACCTATTTCTCTATTCTACTTTACTTTTTTTTTTTTTTTTTCTTTTTTTTTTTTTTTTTTTAGTGCAGAGCTTCGATAAAGTGACAGTGATGCAACAGTAGTGGCAGCTTAGAAATATTAGATCTATTTCTTAAGTTCCATCCGTGGAGTTCAAAGTGCCCTTAGGTGCACGGTGAGAGGCACAAGCAGTTGCCCATGCGTGTTGTGCCTGAGCAGCGTCATGAGTGGTGCTGCACATTGTCCACTACTACTGACTGGGTTACTGGTTCCCATCAATAATTTATTTTTCTGCCTTTTTTTGCACGTTCTAGACTTACTGCGACCGCAATGGAACAAGTCCAACACCTTCAAGCAATTCCTCAGCAGGTTCCACTTCTCTGTCAGCTGTCGTAAATTCACTGAACAATACCGCCCTTCAGGGACATGGAAATTCCCCTCACTCAGCCACAAGCCTCCTTTTCCTTCTCTCCATTTCTCTCCTGTATCTTTGCTGTTAAGAGACTCTGGCAGGGAAGCAGCTCCCACTCCCCACCCCGGTTCCCCAGCCACCCGAGACGGCTCCATCTCGAGCCCAGCATGAATCCGCCTCAGCCCAAACTCCGCATCAAGCCGCCTTGGTTCCACTCCATCCTCCGATTAGTACCAGGCAAGCACTCAGTATTCCCACCTTCCGAAGCTGAGCAGCAAGAAGAGCCTTTGGCTGACCACGGCACGGAGGTAAATGGCGAGCTCTCCCCGCAGACCACCTGGAATTGCAAATACAGGGTGGAAGGAAGCTAAGAGAGACGGTCTTGACAACCCCGGTCTAAAGCTGAGAAGAAGCCCAGTAACGATGGATGATAAAACTCCACAAAAAAAAAAAAAAAAAAAACCCTAAAGAGTTTGCCTATCATTTAGAGAGGTTGACTTGAAGAGGTTGTATTTTCCGTCTAAATTCATTAAAGTCACCAAGTTCATAGAAGCACTAGAAAGAGCACCAAAGCTCATACTGCTCTGTTTGTCACACAGCCCATATATATGGTTACGACTTACCCGTGGTAGGAATGTATGCAAAAGAAACTTAAGCAACACTGAAAAAGGTTTCTTCTAGATTTTTTTTTTTTTGTATGATGCTGTTGCAAAGATAAAACAGCAAATTCTTTTTTTTTAAGACTTCTCTCATTTAACTTCTAAGTCCTAATCAAATGCCTAGTCAAGTAAGTCTTAAAATGGTAAGAAATCAACCATTTTCATAAGAGCTGGTTTATTTACTGTGGGGGTTTGGATTTGACATTTTACTTCAATAGTTTCTGTATTGAACCATACGTGCCAGAGGAAGGAGGTGCGCAAGTGTTGGGGAAAGTACCAGGAGCTTTTGGTAAGCGAAGCTCACATCAAATAAAGTCAAGAGATAAACATCTCCTCTCCCCACTATTTCTCCTCCCAAATTCCAGAAGCTGCATAAGCCCTTTAAGGATTTATGGAATCTCTTGAGTAATGTGCTAGTGTTGTGGGGTTTTTTTTCTCTCCCCCTCCACAAAGTGAATAACTTACTGTTTGTTTTGAAGAGTTTTAATTGTGATGGTTTACTTTAAACACTGGCTAATACTGGTGGTAGGGAGGAGGAATGGGGAGAGGAGAGAAAAATGCCAAAATAAAAGAAATTAAGTGATCAGGTGTTTGGACTGTAAAGACTAGGGTCTTAATTTAATCACTCAATTGAAAAGTTACCTATATAAATACTACTTTAAAAAAGATTTTTCTGAATTCTGAATGAAAAAGATTGTTCTGAATCAAAATTACTACACTTGCACAGATAAAACTTTAGCATCTGGTACTTCCTCTAAGCAAGAGCTTTGAGGACTACCTTGTTCAACTACCTTGATTATGATACCTTGTCAGAAATAATTAAAAAATAATGTTGATATGATCAAATGTGAGTCTATATGATCATACCATTCTCCATGTAGATATATATATCTCATTATAAAATGTCAGACATAAGTGATTGCTCTTAATTTTTTGTTTTTAATCCAAATCTGCCTTTCAGTGACATTTCCACCACCCCAGAATCTCCTCTATTAATAGCAAACTAACACAAATCCATGTCTGTGAGTATGTATGGACACTTCCTTATGCTTATCTTTTGTATCCAGTACAATGTTAATGATTGTATTTTTGTGTTTGTGTAATTAAGCTTTGATTTATTAGCTACTGATTTTTCTTTGGGCAAGAACTGTAAATAAAACAGTGGACAGGCAGTGCGTTCTGGATGCACTTCCCGAAACCTCTACAGAAACCTGTAACTTGCCTGCATAAAATGAATGAACTGTTAAACAAGACCGTACATGTGATTAAAAACCTCAAGGTCTGGAAATGCTGAAGTGTAATTAGTTTTATTTCCCCCTGCAAGGTCTAGTGACATTGCAAGTTGGGGTTCTCTTCTGAAATCTGTTAAGGAGTGAGATTTCATTAACATCTCTGGCAACTGTACTAAGTTTTCCGTATTTATTACAGCCTCTTCCCTTTCCTAGGATCAGCCGTTTGCTCTACACAAGCCATGCTTAAGCAGAGTTTTGCTTTGTTTCCTACTGTGGCAGTGAGTTACATCCCTTGTAACGGGCTCTAAGGCCTTTGGTGTTCCTTGGATTTTCCAGGGGACGGGAAAATCCAAGCGGTGACGTGGGCTTCCCAGAGCTCACCCTTTGCTAGGATCTCGGGATCCCCTGGGAACAGCCCCGTGCTCTGCTGCCCTCGCCAGCTTGTCTGAGTGCTCTAGGTGCAAACACCAAGATAAAGGGTTAGGTTAATTTGCAACCTGGCCCTGTGTCTTAATAAATCTTAAACTGTGAAGAGAAGCAGTCAGCAACAAGGCAGCAACCATGGCCCTTAGTTTTATGTTGCACCAGAAAAATAAATAAATTTGGGGTAGATGCCTTGAGGCTAAGCATTTGCTACATGCTTAGCTGATGTGGGATGGGGGACTGAATGGGGGGCATGATTTTCTTTGGAGAAAAAAGGACCTGGTTGATTTTTTTAATAGCAGCTAAGTGTACTTAAACTCTGAAATTTCTCTCAGAGCAAACACTTGATTTAGAAAAATGCTGCAGTAAGTTTGATTCCATCACGTTCCACCCATTCCATCACTGATGGAGAGACGTGCTTGGAGGAAGAGCACGATGGGTTGTTTAAGGGAAGGGGAAGGTGGGAGGGAGGAAAAGGGAACCTGCCTGTTTTGTGGCTTTTCTTTTTTTACACAAAGACCCTCTGTCCCATGGAAGCAGCTCTTGCCTCTCCCCGTGGGACGTGTGCCCGGCTGGAGCGGGCCCGGGTGGCGTGTCCTGCTGTGGCTCCGGGACAGCCCCGCTTCCACGTGGCGCAAGGCGCTGCCCGCCCCGCAAACATGCGCGGCCACATACGTCCGCAGTAAAGACCGGTCTTATCATTCAAATGCAACAGCCTAAAATGAGCACTCACATTCTGTGTGCTGTTCCTGCCTGCACAACATCCTACTCTGAACTGCTGCTTTTTGGTTTTTTTTTTTTTAATGGCAGATTTTAGCTGCTCTGGGAATCTGCAGGGACCCCGAAGGAGCGCTCAACAAAAGCCTCTGCCAGGTGCAATATTCCGGGTGCAGCATTCCAGGCCAGAGCCAGGACTGCAAGGCAATTGCTAGTGCTTTGTCACCCTTGGCAAGGCGACTGCTTCCCAACCAGCCGCCTCCACGTGCGCGCGGCGCTGCTGTGCGACCCAAGGGACACCCCGCTTTGCCCATGCGGGAACAGGACACTGCCGTGGCCTTAAAAGACTTTCCAAACGGGAACCTCGTGCTATGTAGGTGAGCCTGTTCCCAGCTCCTAGCCTAATCCCTCTGGCACTCCGGGCATGCCCGTGCAACGCAAACACTCTCCAGGCAGCCCAAGGTGGCTGCCTCCCTTGTTCAGGGGCTGCAGCGTTCCGCAGGGAGCAGTTTCTCCCGAGCGTGGCCCTTGTGCAGCCCGCCGGCCTGGCGAACGGCTCCGGGGAGCGAGCACCCGCACGCCGGGGCTCTTTCCCATGCGTTTTTTCCACGCCAGCCTTTCCCCACGCTCGGGTTACAGCAGGCTCCGCGGCAGCGCTCACCATGACACCGTGTGCCCCGCGGCAAGGGCACGGATGCGAGCGCGGCCGCAGCGGGGGCGCCCGGGGGCGGCCGGCATTTTGTCTGCGCTCAGGGATTCGGTTACCCCCGCGCAAAATCATTTTGGTAGCAGACGTTGTCGTTCAGCAGCTTGATTGTAATAGATACCGTTGGAAGCGCTGCCTGTTTTTGCATTAAAGATAACTTTGAAATGGGATCTGGCAGCTCTGCCTGTTAGCAGCACAAAGCGCCGTGTTATATAGCCCGCACTGCATTTAATGCACCGCACAGGGCTCCTGTTCCCCAAGAGATGAAGAGCCTGGGTGCTTTGAATGCATCATTTTGTCTGCAGCAGTTTGAAGAGTGGCACTGGGCTTCCCGCAGTACGTGCTTTAAGATGCCTTGTTTTTGCCATTATGCCCTAGCCTTGGGAAAGATAAATGATACTTGCTTAAGCTATCAGCCCTTGGTTTTCCAAGTGGAGCCCTCCGCTTCCTGCTCATGAATGCATAATTGCTCTGGTTTTGTCCTCATCAAAATGCCCTTAATGAATGACCTGGAGCTGAAGGGGAAAAAGAAAAACCCCACGATTAATTTTATACAGTTCACCTAAAATCCTAGGCTAACAAAATCTCCCCATCCAGTAACAGCCATTCAAGTCTCTTTTGAACCTAGCAACGCTCCCTGCAATATATATGCTATAAATGCATGAATAAAACATTCTCCAGCCTTTCAGAAGTGAGCCGAGGCTCTTCGTGCTTTCAGCTTAGCAGGTGCCGCGCGTTAACAACTGATGGGGGGACAATATGAAAATTGAGCAAGCAGCAGAATTAAATCCCGGTAGCTTGGCTTTGCTGCATAAACTGAATGATCGCATTCCACTGAAGTCTCTCTTCAATGACCTAGTGCGAAAACTATTCTTTACGTGGCACAAATCATTAAGGGAAACAAAGCCTTTGTAAAGCAATTGTTCTGTTTCCCTCTTTTCAATAACTGCCCCTGGAAACGTGGTTTGGACTTCCATCAAATCGCCTACTGTCCATAATTTGGACTCAAAGTCCATGCTTGTTATGCTTAAAAACATAAACTTTGCATGAGAAAACTTGCATATTTTTCCACTGAATGTAGAAAATGCAAATCTTTCCTTGAAGGCGTGAGATGAAACTCTGAGGTTGGAAGGAATATGTATACCAGATAAATGCAGGTTGTCTGATGGTTAGACAAGTAGGAATCAAAAATGCTTGCATTTGTAAAGATAATTATACCTTTCAGAGTCACAATAGCAAGGATTAAAACCCCATTTTGAGCGAGCAGAAATATTCCCGTTTCAGGACCCTCCTAATTATAGGGCATCAGGAAGCGTTTCCTTTGCAAGCAGCCTGCCCAGTAGCTGTCTGGTGCATTTTCCCTCAGGAAGGCAATTTGGGCCGTGTTATTACCTTGAAAATGGACTTGATAGAATCACTGCTCTAAGACAGCAGCCCCGGTGTGTGAGTACAGAAGAGCTTTTAAATAAGGCAAGAAGCGAGCTCTGCCCTTTGGCAACAGCGTAGCACGACGGCGTAATTATCCTGAAGCATAATGATGACAGCTGCCCTGTATCCACCAGCACGGGAAAGCCATGGATCCATATTCTCAAATTTGCTGTTTTTTTTTTTTTTTTTCTTTTAGTATCCCTTGGTAGGTTTCTAAGAGTACCTTCCAATTTATTTTTAGGGCTATTCTTGCTACTTTAATTGATTTTTCCTTCTTGTTGCAGAAAGCTAATAGAAAACAACATGCAAAAGAACAGATTTTTTGCCACTGGTAATTAGTCTGTGCACCCAACCTGGAGCTCTTGGGGCTCCCATCAGGTGCACACCCTTGTTGCACACCCTTGTAGAGGGCTGGCAGTAAATCAGCCTGTGCAAAGTATTATTGGGATGGTAGATTTTTTTTTCTGTGTTTGTACTGAAATCAAAATATCAGAGCTGCACACAGCCATTTGCAGCACACATTCATCTTGCCCTATTAGTGTAGCACTAACCTAAACCCTCTGTCATCACCACAGTAAAAAAAAAAACCAAAAAACACACTGCAAAAAGTGCAAAGGGGCTAAGGGAGAGGGGCAAAAGCTCCTGTGACCTGATGATAGATCCCTAGAAGTGGGCATCTAACTTCTAGGGATCCACTTCATCCCTTTCTCCTGCCAGTTTTACACCCCACGTTTCCCAAAGCAGAGGCAGCCACCAATACATATCTGCAAATCTCCTACTGGACATTACCTGTTTGCCTGGGTGCTTTTTTTGCTTCTCTCCACAACAGCAGTAGTTAAAGCCCAGGTCTTCAAAGGTAATTTGATACCTGATTTAGAAATTCATTCTTATTGAAATCCGTATCCTCGTGCGCTGCAGTCTGTGGGCCTGCTGTGTAAAACCAGCAGCAACACTGCAGCCTTTCATGGACCTTGGAGGGGTTTCAGCTCATTTTCTCAGGGAAGGAGAGACTAAATCCCTTTTTCATTTTCTTTTTTACTTGTTTGTTTTATCATTATAGCACCTGATATATACATATATATATATATAGAGAGAGAGAGTTGACAGAGCTGAGGCTTGGGCAATTCAGGCTTGAACCAGAGGCTCCTCAAGACATAAACTGCAGTTTTGTGCCAATTCCCCAAAAAGCCTGGGTGGCAAAGGAGGCTTCTCAGTGCAGATCAGATGGGCTCATGGTAGACTTGGGCACGGAAATCTGGAAAGCTGTTGTTCCAGCTGTTCCAGCTGTACCTTTCATTTGATTTCAGATACACTGGAACACTGTATTTACTGCTACTTATATTATTGCACCATGTTGGGGCTCTGGCCAAGAACAAGCACTTAGAGCTGAGTGCTATAGAATGATCTTGGACCCAAAGGCTTTGCAGTCTTATTTTGTAAAAAACAACAACAACAACAACAAAAACCCCTCAGCATGGATAGATGAGGGATCACAAGGAAAAATGTGGTTCTTTATAATCTCAGCCTATATCTTGTGTACACAGCTATGTATTTTGTACATCTCGTTGCAGAGTTATTTGCCTCATAGAAAAA